TAGAGGGGGTATGTTCTGAGAAAGACCCGTTATATCAAATATAACCATTTTTTTTATAAACCTATTATCTATCAATGTAAAGCTTAATATTTTTCTTGTTTAATAACCCCACTACTACTTTCAGTTTAGGTGATGCTTTTTTGCGTATGATTCTATAAAATGGGTTTTCCATCATCTAAATTTTGAGGAAGAAACAACGTACTTATATAGAGGTAAATCCTGCATGTGACACTGTTTTTTAAAACTAATATAATGAAAATGAAAAAATTTTTAGAGTACTGAAGAGCAAGCAATATTAAGATTAATTTTCAATGTAGAAACCTAATTTACTAATTGTGTTTATTCGTAGCTTTTCTCTAATTTATAATTTTTCCGAATGAAAATGTCGATACTCTATTTGTATTACAGCTCGGTGTTGTAACGGTGTACGACTTGGTAAAATATTTATATCACAATTATTTTACATGCGAGAGATTACACGTTTATAGTAGCCCACTGTAGTGCACAGAATTTTTTATGATTTTTTTTTACAGCTAAATCGGTGTTTTATGCCGTTTTTAGTGGCACGTTCTATGAAATGATTGGCTCTGGTATGCTTGCGCGAATATTTTCATTTAACAACGTGATGAAAGCGGGACCCATTTCTGGTATTGGTAATATCGAAAATGCGGCTTTTTAATTGTTTCTTTTTTTTTATTATGGTAAACATAGAACGAAGCTTTGTGTTTCATTGATTGAATTGTTCACTTAAAGTTTAAAGCTCAATGGAAAATAACTCCAATTAGTCGCAGAGACGAGGTCTTAACTGAGACAAAATTTGAGTAACAGGCTGAAAATTTCATACATTATGGTTTTCAACATTCTAAATCGATCTACGCATGAATTTTAATTATTAGTCCCCTGCTTGAGGGTGAAAAAATATATTTAAGGGTTGAAACTCAAATATTACGCAAATGAATGAGAAATCGGGAAAAATTTCAAACAAATGTTGGAGCTTGTAAAATTTCGCGTAGAAAACGTTTGAAGTTTTTCTCTCTATCATTTATCGTTCACCCTTTAGCTAATTTCAAAGTTTCGCTACCTACAAAAATGAAAAAAAAAAGCGCTGGGCGCCGCTGACGTGCCCAGGGAGAATTATTATGTTCTTTATTATTCGGCAAATATTCTGTTTTCGCAGTGCGCGCGACAAATTAACGTGAAAATTCTCTTTAACGGTATTTAGTTTATGAAAAAAAAAAACAACTAGAATTCAATCGTTGTTTAATTTCTTTTCTAGTTGGTTTAAAGAGAAAATTGTTCAATAAGTATTTCATAGTGAAGTTGATTATTGTTAATATTATTGTTATTGTTATTGTGCATTTGCATTGGAGTTGTATTGTATATACAGGGTGTCCCAAAAAGATACCGACAAACTTTAAGAGGTAGTAGGGGACATCAAAACAAGCATTTTTGTTTAATAAACATATGTCCGCAAGTGAGCCATTTGGGCTGTAGAGCAAAAAAAACTCTTTTCATTCTTCGCAATAATCAAATCACTGTTTACTTCTTAATTTTGGTTTATTAACAAATCAATTATGGTTTACAATAATTGTTCAAAATGTTGACCATTTACTTCAATGCAAAAACTGCACCGTCGGGTCATTGACACGCGAACCCTTTGGAATATTCCGGGAATAGCTTCTACATGGGTACAACTCGCCAGTATCCTTGCTAACAGATCTTCCTCATTACGAACAGATGTTTCGTACACTAAACTTTTCAGTCAATGACCCGACGGTGCAATCTTGGCATTGAAGTAAATGGTCAGCATTTTGAACAATTATTGTAAACCATAACTGATTTGTTAATAAAGCAAATTTAATAAGTAAACAGTGATTTAATTATTGCGAAGAATGAAAACAGTTTTTTTGCTCTACAGCCCAAATGGCTCATTTGCGGACATATGTTTATAAAAACAAAAATGCTTGTTTTGATGTCCCCTACTACCCCTTAAAGTTTGTCGGTATCTTTTTGGGACACCCTGTATATTATATAGGTAAGTGTTCGATTATTTTTTCATTGATTGCAATTGCAAAGCATACATTTTTTTAATAGCTAATGTATCAGAAAATCATTTAGATAAAAAAATATTGAAAAATCTTGTGAATAAACACGAAAAAAAAAATTTTTATAGATGGCAGCCTATTAAAATAAATAAAATACGTGAATAAGAAACAAACAACTTAATATTTACCCAGAAGTGGGCTTTCCCTTGCCAGAAGACAAATTATACAGCCAAGAGGTACCAATACAGGGTGTCAATTTGAAAATTTCCCACCCCTATTATCTCGGAGTAGAAAAATTTTCGGGGATAATACCACGAGAGCTTCAAAATTACCGATAATTTTTCACGATTGCGTGTTTTCTATAATTTCCAGAGAAAACACGCATGAGTGAAAAATTATCTGGTTCATTTTAAAGTTCAAGTGGTATTTAGAGGATTATTTTACGTATGAGAATGCAAAAAATATGGAAATAAATATGTATTAAACGATTTGAACATCTTAACAATCAATACAAATAAATGGTTGCTATCAGGAACCGTTTGTTTGTATCAAAAATTAGCATGACAACCATGTATACAATAACATGGGAGAATTATCGCTGTAATTCTCTCTAATTAAACAAATGGAAAAGAGAATTTTCGCTGTAATTCTGAAAATCGTCAATTGTCTTATGGAATATCTAACACATGAGTGGAATAATCAAAAAAATCCCTGGAACACGTCAACTTTAATTTGAAGGGGGATGAGTTTTTATGCAAAATTCACTTCCCCTCTTTCAACCCCCCAAACACCAGAGCCACCCTCTAGAAAATCTTAAATGGGAAGGGGGGGTCAAGTGATACATCATTTTGCAGCGTTTTCAATTCGATACATTTTGCTACCAAATTTCAATACTTGAGCTCAACTGTTTTGAAAATATTAAACAGGCTGTAAAACCTAAATGGTTAATTTTAGAGAAAAAATAGCTATTTATACAATAAGTTACGAAATGAGCGTCTTTTAGGCACGCGACGTGAAAATTGTCCAACGAGGCAAAGCCGAGTTGGACAACACGTCGAGTGACTAAAAGACACCGTTTCGTAACGTATTGTATACAAGATTTTTTCTACTGGCATTTTATAATAAAAAAACACAATTTTATTTCATGTGAATAAGTCGATTACACCCAAAATCTTTGTTACCTGCTTTTACTTGACACCTGACACTTTTCATGCGATTTTCTTTTCAAAATTCGACATCAATAATTAAAATCCTAGAAAGTAGGTAATAACACAAAGTTCTGTTTTGAGTAACCCAAACGTTCAATTCAGTAATTCAATTTTCAATATTCATAATAAATACAAAACAAAATTCAAATATGTGTTTAGTGTGTTTTTTATTTCTGAATAATGAATGACACTTTTAGGCACTAGTGCTTAAAAATTACTTTTACGCACTCATAAGTCACTTTTACGCATTCAAAAGTCACTTTTACGCACTGAGTGCCTAAAAGTAACTTTCACGCACTCAGTGCCTAAAAGAATGTCGTTTCAAAACTGAAATGACAATCGAAAAGTTGCTATTATGAAACGTCAGTAGAAAAACGATTTTACATTCTTGTCTTGGATTTTCATAAACTATTATTTGACACCAACTTTGAATTTAACCGAAGATTAAATTTTTAACCGGAATTTTTGATCATGGATTAAATTCAAAGTTGGTGTCAAATGATAGCTTATGAAAATGTAAGATCGTTTTTTCTCTAAAATTAACCGTTTAGGTTTTAGAGCCTGTTAAAGTTGCAAAAACGTCAATTTTCAACTGTCGATATTTCTAAAACAGTTGAACTCAGGTATTGAAATTTGGTACCAAAATGTATGGAATTAAAAACACTGCAAAATGATGTATCACTTGACCCCACTTCCCATTTAATATTTTCTAGGGGGTGGTTCTGGGGGCTGGGAGTTGAAAGAGGGGAGGTTAATTTTTCATAAAAAAATCATCCCCTTTCAAATTATAGTCGACGTATTTCAGGGATTTTTTCGAAAATTTTTCTACTCCGAGATAATGTGGGAAGTTTTCAAATTGACACCCCGTATTTCTTTCCCTAATATCTTTGAATTTGAATATTTCAGAGAATTTCGTTCAACGAAATAACATTTTGATGCGATATTTTACTTTGTTTTTCAATTATAATTTCTATTTTTTTGGCTAGATATGGATCTGGTCGAATCACATCAATCATGTCCTTTTTGCAAGGGTCCTGTGAATAGTCATAGGGATAAAGTAATCGTTAGGACAAAGGGTTTGGCAACGCTAATTGAAAAGAGTAAATCGAAAAGTGATGATAAATGGATACATTGGACTGGCTTAACAGAACTGCTCTCTCACACTTCTTGTCGATTGCGCTATTTGACTTCGCCTGTAGCTAAATCAACAATATCTACGAATGACTCCACAATATCATCTCCAAGGACATCTTGCACACCTGACATCTCAATGGCACCCTCAACTGCAATTCGAGCATCAGCAAATCTTCTAACCAACACGTCATCAGTCACACTTCAGGATGCGAAAGATTTTGATTTCGTCAAATTATGTTTTCTTTGTGGTGGTGATTGCAATACAAAACAAAACCAAAATCAATGGAGGTCAGTAAAACAGAATTTCATTCTGGATAAAATATTAGATGCAGCTACAACTCGAGATGATAGTTTAGCAGCAACAGTCTTACACAGGCTTGATGGAATTACCTCCTTGGTTGACGTACAAGCCAGATATCACTCGAAATGTTATTTATTATTTTTTAAAGCGAACCAAACCGCACGTGCCCCATCCCCTGCGACTGCTTTAAACAAAAAATCATTTGACATTGTTTGTAATTACATTGAAGAAAGTGGCAAATTTGAATTTACTCTACCAGAATAACAAAACGTAATGACACGGAACTGCCTTGACAGAAGGACTCTCTATAAAATGTTACACAATAAATATGGCAAATCGATTTATATTCGTCAGCAGCAAGGGAAACCAACAATTATTTATTACAAATATTTCAATATAGGGAGTATGTGCAACAAATTTTATTGGGATGAAGACTATGATGAATATGAGAAAGAGGTAGTTCTCAAAACTGCGGCTCGGTTACTTAGGACAGATATAAAGGCCAAGCAATATAATGTAGAGAGTTTTCCACCAGCCACGCAATTTCTTGATGACATTGATAAGGACGTTCCTGATTCACTCCGATATTTCCTTAGTGCATTGATTGAAAACGCACAAAGTGATGATTATCTTGTGAAGAGAAAGATTATTTCACATTCCATAATTTCAGCAATTCGTTCTCGCACATTCATTTCAACATTGCAGTTAACAGGTGGTACTTATATTTATAGGAAGACTGGCTCAAGGCAAATTATCGATATGTTAGATCAAATGGGTGTCTCTGTGTCATATCACCATTTGCAACAATACGAAACGTCTGTTATATTAAATCCACCTGACATGACCATTGAAGATGGGGTCCATGTTCAGCACGTATTCGACAACACGGATCATAATGTCGGCTCGTTAGATGGCCATTATACGTGCCACTGCTTGGGTGGCATTGCGATTTACACCCCTGGGAAATGATTTATATTTTTTCTATCGACAGATTTCTTGTGGCTGCACAACAGACTGTGCTTACTCATGGTGCGGGTGCGCTAAAGCTGGAATGCGATGTTCTCAACTGTGTAAAAACTGCAATGGTCTTAGTTGTAACAATGCTTCCATCATAAAGCCTGACATAGAGGAGGCTGTTATTAACGAATTGTCCACTGCCCTGGATGAAGTAGATCAAGAGCATGAGGCTGATACGATGAATGAAGACGATGAAATGCTCAATTATGGCAACTATTTTGATGAAAAAGATTTTTTCTACAAACGTGTTAAAAATGCAATTTTTAACACCCTCCCGTAGCATTAAAAATGTTACTTTATCGCACTAGTGCCATAAAATCTTTATAGCACTAGTGTTAAAAATGAAACATCAAATTTTGAGAGCGAACGTCAAAAAAAGGTTGTATTTTTAGTTATTTACATTGATATTAATGGTGAAATTTGAACAACTGATGTAGCCCGATTGGCCGCCTCATCTATATTTTCAAGGAATCGATGCAACCTTCTTTTTCTTTTGTATTTTGTTGCATTTTTAGTAAAAAGCATACTGACCACGACAGACTTTCAAGAAACTGACAAGGCATTTCATTACCTGTAAAACAAGATGCTACTGGTTGCTTGGATTTTTTGACAAATATCAAATTCAATAATTTTATGTAAAGTGTGTTTTTTTTTTAAAGATAAAAGTCAAAATGACATTATGTTGGTAATACAATGTAAAATTGTCAATGCTTTTAAATTTTTTATGTAGAAAAGGCTTGTGTTGCCAACATAGTTACTAAATTTTTGACTTGGGGAGTTATCTTTAAAAACGAAAACACACTTTAGTGTAGGAGAGATGCTTCCAATTTATTATTCACTAGCTGTTGACCCGCTGCGTTGCCAGCGTGTAAATACATTTTGAAATAATACACTTCTTTTCAAATTTTGTTGTTGATTTTCTATTTAATTTTTTTTTTTTAATTCGATATCAGAGTCGCTTGCCAGTGAGTTCAGTGACGCATTTTAAGCACTCCAGAGCTGCTCTAGAGCGCCCCGGGCTGTTTATAGGTGTTCCAGTGTATCAGAGTTTTACGCAACCGAACTTTTTTTTTCGGGATAAAAAATAGCCTATATCACTCTCCGCTATTGCCGATTCGATTGACCGGATTAGATCGATCTGGTTCAATTTAAATGAACCACACTGTGTTCGATTCAAGCTGGATCAGTGCACCCTTATCACCAAGAAAATGATCTAGATTAGAAGAAGTTCACTTAAATTGAACCCAAATCGATCTAATCTGGGTCAATCGAATTCACCTTATATAGAGATACGTGGTATTAATTCAAGATCGGTCCAGCCGTTCTTGAATTCAAAAAATAATAAAGTTACGTCGGTTGAATGCAAGCCTAAATAAATGAAATATGTCAACGTTATTTCATGCTGTCAAAAAAAGTTGGGTTATGTTGTTATGTAATGTGAATGAGTTTGTTTACAATTAAATTAATAATTAATTCAAAATTAATTTCTTTTTCCGAGATGCGTAACCTATCCACAAACCTTCCTTGGGATGGCCATAATAACCTACCAAAGTTTCATCGTAATCGGATAAGTGGTTTTAGAGCGCATATCCGGATACCCCGTGAACTTTGATTTTTATATATTATAGATTTAAAAATCCAATTTGTTATTGGTTATTGCTTTTTATTTCCGTTTGTAGAAAAATATTGTGATATTTGTGTTAAAAGTATTTTTAAGGCACTTATGTGCCTTTCACATGCGTGCCTTGAAAATGTACTTTTAACACTTACATCATAAATAACTATAATGTGCAATTGAAAATTTTGGAAAAAAAAGATGAAGAACTAGATTACCTATCTAAAAAGTCACGTAGATCTTATTCCATTCCTGTCTGAAGAATATTAACAATGTTAGATTGAAATTATTTTTTTTTCGTTTATTTGTTTTTTAATGAATAATTATACAGTGTGTCCACTTAAGTTCGCAGCATATGGGAAACTTTTATTATCAATTTAAAAAAAAAAGTTATTCTTTATAAAAGTTTCTGCTTCTTGAAAAAATAATATTAAACTACTAAAACTTGAAATAGCATGTACAGGGTGGTCAGAAAATAGAAAAATATACAAGGTGTTTCTTGAGTACGGTTCGTAACTTCAGGATGTGATTCCTCACAATATTTTAAGAAAAAAAGTTCCCATAAACATGTGTCCGGAAATGCGTAGTTTCTGAGATACATGGTGTCGAGGTTTTAGAAAAAATCGTTTTTTAGCTCAAAAATCCATTTTCCAATTTTTTTTTCAAATTTGGCAGATCTGTTTGTGATAACGAAAGGTATCTTTTGACTGTAATATGACTTGCTGAATCTAAAAAAAATATCAAAGGTTTTAAAAAATAGTGACGTGTCATTATTTTTCTACTTTCGCCGTTTTTTACCAAAAAATTCTCTATATTTTTCTATTTTCTGACCACTCTGTACATGCTATTCCAAGTTTTGATAGTTTAATACTATTTTTTCAAGAAGCAGAAACTTTTATAAAGAATAACTTTTTTTCTTAAAATTGATAATAAAAAAGTTTTCCATATGCTGCGAACTTAAGTGGACACACTGTAGAAACGTGAATATAAATTATGAATAATATAACGAAACAAATTTTTTATTAGGTAAAGCGGTGCTTTGTCCCTTGAATTTATTTTGTCTGTTATTTAATTATTCGAATCCTGACAAAAAAAGTCGATGGAAAAATGACTGAGTATCACCAAAGTTTATCAAGTTATGCATTTGCCGAGCGCGGCATCGTCAGTGGCGCCCCTGCGGGATTCTCCTATTTTTCTCGGTAGCGAAACTTTGAAATTAGCTAAAGGGTTAACGATAAATGATAGAGAGAAAAACTTCAAACGTTTTTAACGCGAAATTTTACAAGCTCTTACATTTGTTTTGGTTTTTTTTCCCGATTTCTCATTCGTTTGCATAATATTTTTTTTTTTTTTTTTTTTTTTTTTTTTACGGATATGCGCACTCGCAAGGAAATGTCCTATCACGCTCGAGAAGCGGCAAGTGCGCGGAAATGTCGGTGTATGTTGGTCTTGAAACGGTTCAGGTTGTAACCTGCAGGGAAAACCGTCGTAGGGAGTTTATTCCACAGCGATGCTGTTCTCCAGAGATATGAATTCTGATATAATGAGGTTCTTGGTGCCTCTAGTTTGACAGTAAATTCATGGTTACCGTCTGTTTGACGGGTTCGCCTGGTAGGTGCTACTCTCGGTGGAATCATACGTGCCAACTCTTCAGAGCATTTTCCGTGATAGTACCTGTAGAAGAGAGATAAATCGCCCACCGTTCTGCGATGTTCGAGACCATCCAAGTTACGAGTAAGTGCGGGGTCATTGATCAGCTTGATAGCTCGTTTTTGCACGGTATTCAAAAGCATTAAGGTATGTTTGGGTGCTGCACTCCATATATGTGAGCAGTACTCCATAGTTGGTCGAATCTGGGCTTTGTAGAGTGTCAGCAATTGGCTTGGTGTGTACAGATGTCTTGTACGAAATAGCACCCCCAGCTTTTGGGAGGCCCTTTTAGCAATATCTGCCACGTGACTGTGCCAAGACATGTTGGTCTCTGCAGTAACCCCCAAGATGTTCAACTGACTCTGTAATGTGACAGCACTTCCAGATAGCATGATGTTTGGCTCACCGGTGCTGGTCTTTTTTGAAAACAGAGCTGCTTGGGTTTTCTGCGCGTTGAACTGTACAAGGTTTTTGTTACCCCAGTCCTCTATTATCTCCAGGTCGTTATTTATCTGCGATATTTGAGTTAGTCTAAGAAGATGGAATTCACGTGCGGAAAGACCTGTCGGTGGTATGAGTGAGGAGACTACATTGCCATCGTCTGCAAAGCAATAAAGTGGATTTACTGTTTTATCTATGAGGTCATTTATGTAAATCAGAAAAAGAGTTGGCGAAAGGATTGCTCCCTGTGGCACACCAGCATTTATTTGGTAAGAGTTGGAGTTCTGGCCATCCAGTGCAACATAAATGGATCTGTCCTTTAGGTAACTTTCAAACCAAGTGCAAAGTTTCGGCGATAATCCCATTGCTTTGAGCTTGTTGAGCAGATTTTCATGCCAAACTTTGTCGAATGCTTTAGATATATCTAAGGCAATTGTTCTTGTTTCACCCCGCAACTCAATCGCTTTTTGCCATAAGTGAGTGACGTATGTAAGTAAATCGCCAGTTGACCTATATTTTCGAAATCCGTATTGCTTATCGTTGATAATTTTGTACTTTTCCAAGTACTTGGTTAGGTGATTGTTCACAACTCTTTCCATTACTTTTGATATCACCGGAAGTAGAGCAATTGGTCTATAGTTTAACGGATCTGTCTTTTTTCCTTTCTTTGGAATGGGTTGTACTGCGGCAGACTTCCATGATGATGGATATACTCCTTGCCTGTAAGACAAATTGAATAATTTTGCGAAAGTTGGGGTGAGTTCGTTGGCGCAATTTTTGAGTACTATTGCGGGAATGCCATCCGGACCCATTGCTTTGTTTGTATCCAGCTTTTTTAGGGATTTTCGTATTTCTCTGTGATAAAAGGGTACCTCTGGCATACTATGGGAAACCCTTTCAATGAACGGTGGAGTTTTTCCGTTTGGCACTGTTAGGTTGGAGTTGGAGGAAAACATTTGGGCAAGCATATTGGCTTTTTCCTCTGATGTTGTGGCTAAGTGATTATTTTTATCTGTAAGTGGTGGTATGGATGACTTGGTGAAGTTAGATCCAACAGCTTTTGCAAGAGACCAAAAAGACCTAGAACTACTTGGACAATTCAGCAACCTGTTTTTTATTCTTTGATTGTATGTTTCTTTAGCGGAGTCAATAGTAATTTTGCAACTATTTCTGGCTTCTATAAATTCTGTGTGGTTTTGAGCGGTTTGCTGTCGTTTCCAAAGGTTATATGCTCTGTGTTTTTTCT